GGCGGGATACACGTAGCGAACCACTAGAGCGTATATACGGGAAAGATTGCTTTCTTCGTAGAGGCACCCGCGAACCGCTGAGGCGAAATTCCTCAATGTATTATGTAAATTTGCACGATGAATGAACCTTTATGCCAAGGAGAGAAGGAAGGAACGATACATAATTAATATTCTTCTCGCTTCGTCGTCCTTCGGTCGTTCAGGTGTTCAAGAAAGGTGACAGAATTCCGTTTATTGCACGTATAATAGCTTGAACGGTTCGAACGTTTCTTATGCTTGACTTTTGTACTCGACGAAAGGACCCGTTCTCGCGATAGAGAGCACTAGAATAGGACGGCCAAACGTTTTAGGAATGTTTGATATCGTTTTACAACGGACACGTCTCTTTCCTCGACCATTTCTCTGCTTCAAGGAAGCTCCCTTTATTGTTCTTCGAAGAAGAATGCATGTAAAGTAGAATACGGAGCAAGATTTTCCCGCGAGTACACGTAGAACCGTAGTTTGACGCGAATGGTTATTGTCCGCCGATCTAGAACAGCAGTCTAATAATGCTAACCGCGCTGATTCAAGTCCGCGGGGCGGCTATATTTGAAAGCGCACGAATGTCAGTGAATATTGTATGTTTCATAATTGATCGACTGCTGCTCGGGATCGCAGACAAAGCGGTTGACACGAAATCGCTCTGATTGTCACCGTGACATCGGGCCGTATTACTAACCTGCAAGAGCTTGCGAACACAGTTCATGCATTCCTGACACAGTAATTGCCACTTGAGGTAGTAGGTTGCACTTGTATTCCTCGGGTCGCAAGACTCGATCCACTTGACGAATTCGGACAAGACCCCGACGTATATTGTGCGAATAATACATACGTTATACATGCATACGTCCATAGCTTTGCACGCGTTTCAGAATGCAATAAGAAAAATTGGTTAGATGGTCGATGATCAAACTCGATGGTCAAGCATCGTCGCGTACACGAACGTTCGAATCGATCCGACGACTGTTCTTACCCTGATCTCGCGCGGCACCGTCGAGTTTGCTCATCGAATGGTATCCCTTAGACGCAAGATACGACACCCGTTTCACGAAGATTTCGTGTAGAAACCCGCGAGAGATACACACCCACGAGAAAGATGTGCAGTTCTCCTTCTTCTTCTTCCGCAATTACCGTAGCACCCGCTTTCGCTTCTGCGTTGCGCTTCGATTCGCCGTATCGACGCGAAAACCCAGCGACCAACTATCTACCAGCATCCGCTGAATCGCGAGAGTACTGCGAAAGAAGGGTTGTAAGACTCGACTTGGTACCTGTTCAACTTACACAGGAATGCGCCGAGGTACGGTAGCGTTTAGCAGTCAGCCGGACTTGGAGCCGGACGGTCCCAGAAGAAGTCTCGCGGACATCTACAAGCTTCACCGTCGCCGGGAGACCGAGGGGCCGAACCGTTTGGGCGTTTTTCAGCGGCTGTTCAGCCTTTTCGGCAGTCGTCCGGCGAGCAGGAAAACGTCGACCGCGTCGTTCACGGGTGAGGGTGAGAGTATATCATTGGGAAACCAACGAGAGAAACACGGTACACGGAATATCAGCTTGAATTCTGTCCGGATTACCGGTAACTTTATTGTTATGCCACAGGAGTGGCGTCAGCGCTCCGAGTACACATGGGATACATCGCTGGTCTGGTGCCAGGGACGAAGGCCGCGTCTACCTGTCAGGTTAATGCCCAAGGCGCCCGTCCACCTCATCCCCGTTGTGGCTCAGGACCAATAATTAGTATCACTAGCGAAGAGGATCGCAGATTAAGCCTCGGGCTGCGTCGTAAAGAGTGCAGCGAGCCCAGAGTCAATTTTAGCCTACCACCCAGTAAGTGTACGCAGACTGTTCATTTTCGATTACTTCCCGATGAAATATGTAGAGAGCGATCGCGCGCGCGACGGCTGCGATTCTCGAGCCGCCGAATGAAACGCGTTTCTGTTGCAGAGGCGAGCACCAGCCAGACATCCTCGCGAGAGAAGATTCGCGGATCACCGCGATTCCCGCATCGAATAGTACCGGCGAACAGCCTGAACGCTATCGCTTCCGGATCATCGATCTCGAAGTCGCAGAGATGGCATTCAATGGAGGACGCGAGACGAACGAAAGCCCCGCAGGGTCTCCGAGGCTTAACCTGCAGTCCCAGCTACGACGTGTGGGCGACCCGTGAAGTTGGAATTCCATTAAGCGAACTGGGAAACACCGCTCGAGGGAAAAAACCTCCGGAATCGTTAGGCCTGCCCAGCACCGCGGAATCTAAAGCGGGTCCCGATGACACGAGACTCGGTAATGATTCAAGCACGCTCTTCAGGGGAAACGACAGCCCTGGGACCGCCAGTCCCGCTGAATTAGAGATGAAATCTACCCGACAAGCTTCTCCCGCCTCGTCGTCGCCGGCTAACGTCAGAACGTCCGACGACACGAACGGCGCGACGCCGTCGAAAATTGAATCGCGTCCCAAGCCCGTGACTGGCACAGTTCAACTGGACGCGAGTACAAACTTTACTCGGGAACCGGAGCATTCCCGGGTCCCGAGTCGACCATCGAGTCCTATTGTTCACGTGGCGAATTTAGATGAACCGGAAGCGGCGGACAATCGCGCGAACCCGTCGTGCAAAGATTGATCGAACGACCGTCGCGCGGAATGAAATAGCGAGCGTTGCTTCATCGTCGTGTTATTTTTCTTCCTTTATCGGTTGATTCTCGCTTCGACGTCTACTCGTAGTAGAGAGAGAGAAAGGATAAGAACGATGTATAGTAACAGGGCACAGAGACATTTTGAGAGATCGAGCGACACATAGAAGTATATGATCGGTTTATTCTACGTTCTCCTTTCCTTTCGAAGGGATCGCGCAATCCTTCGCGCGCGCGACAATCTTCTGCGCCCCGCGGCGGGTGCAGGATCAAGCTCAAGCGAAGCTCAAATGTGCGAGACTCGAGGACTAATCGATGTTTCAATTTAATCGTGTGTGTTCCGTAGCAGTTGTGCCAAAGACATGAATCCAGGACCCGTAAAAGTATATACAGCAAATCGGGGGGGGACTACGTATATGGATCGCGAAGGGACCAAAGCAACAAATTCTTCTCTTCGTTGCGCGAAATTATTTTTAATAAACGATGAAAGTTCATAAATATGACCGATTCGTGCAGCCAATCGAGAATGCGACGACTATGTTAACAGTTTTATTGTCCACAATATCGTTCCATGTACTTGTACGAAACGCACGAACCGTGCAAATATCGTGGAGAGCAAGCTGAGAGTACTCTTACAGGTCCAACATCAAAGTGTTCAGTGCCCTATAAACCCTTCCTTCAGTACCTGCACTCGATGTAATACTAAAAGAAAAAAAATATATATATATAATTCTTCGTAACGCGGCAGAATTGCGAAAATACGAATGTCAGTTCCCTCTGTAAATTTTAATGCGAGATGTACTGATATTTTGATGCTGCAACGCATAAAGAAGCGTTATGTATACATCTATAAATATGTAGATAAGAACAAATGAAGCGCAACCGTACCCTCGTTTCGTACCTCGAATAATATCGATGTGTCAATCATTGAACCGCTAATTACTAAGCAATAATGTTCGTCGGTGCAATTAAAGACGGTGTAATAAAGATAAATATATATATATATTCTATGTGACTGTTATCAATGAGATTCTTTTCTATTCTCGAGGACAGATACATGTACAGAATGACCGAAAGTAAATTAGAATATTTTATTTTCATGTATCTTTTGGTACAACGATGTATACGAATTAGTAGAGTACAAAAAGTTATATCTGTTTTAAATCAGAATTATTTACATTATCTTGTACTTGTAACCGCGGGACTCTGTAAATACCAAAGGATACAATAGATACAGAGCCACCTACGATCGAGTAACACAAAGTAAAACCACAAAGTTCGCGAATAAATCGAACGATCGGATCTCAACGGATCCGCGTTGTGTAATGAATCAAACGTACTTGGAATACGACTTGTCTACGGTTACGCGCTCGTATTTACAAGAAGCATTACGTTTCGCATTACGTTTCGTTATTCTAAAACAAGGTAATACGCCTATATTAACTCGAGCGAGTTAATAAAAGTCTGTTCCGATAAACGAGACGCTATTCTCCCACGATCCTATGAAATAACTAACAATCCTTGTCTAAACTGCCCTAATTACAAGAAAAGTTCGTCGTACACTTAAATAAAACGGTAAATCACAGATTGGCATATTTGAGAATGGGAATTCTTAAGTATTTATTATGCTTCGGTCGCTTTTGCCTCCGGATAGTCGTGTTTCCGTTAACTACATGGTTGCCTAAAACAGCAAACAAACGATATCAATACCAGGACACAAATCGCCAAGTTCGACGCGCGCAATTTATTACTATGAACTTACAGTAATTTTGTCTAATATCGTCTCAGCCGGTTTACCCTTCCTGACGGGTACCTTTGGTCCCGTCGTCGCATCCGGTACCTGCTTTTCTTCGTCGGTCCCGTTTTTCTTTTCCGGACTCTTCATGGCGTTCTGCGCCTCTATCCTTTTTCGATTTAGAAACGCCATACCGTGAACCCTGAGGTGTTTATCCACGGCAGCCTTGTTCTCGAAGACAGCCATGCAGACGTGGCACTGATTCGCCTCGATGGCCTTCCCTTCAACATCGAGATCTTCGATGCTATCCGGTGCATAGGACGGGTTTTTTGCCATATAGGCAATGGGGTCTTCAATCCCGTGGAACGCCTTCAGATGCATCTGCAAACTAGGCGCGACCACGAAATTGTCACCGCATTCCAGGCAGATCAGATATCGCCCTCTGATCCTGTGATCGGTCGCAATATGCTCTCTCAAATGTATCATGTTTGAACACCGCTGGTCGCACTTTTTACACCGGAATTTCCCTTCGCTATCCTCCGCGGTCTCCTGCGTCACGCACAGCCCGATTCCTGCGAAGTTCGCGTTTCTACCCTCCGAATACTTCTTCGGTGTCCACCTCCGTCTCCTCTTCGTGTTCGTCGAGGCATTGTCCGATTTGCGCTTTCTGTTACCCAGCAAATCCTTGTAACCGTCGTTTATGAATTCCTGCGACATTCGCACCAGCGTTGGATTGACCACCACCAGCTTGCAATCCTGCCTGTGCTTTTGCTCGAAATGACTACTCACGACCGACCACGACGTATTTATCAGGTCTCCGCAGAGGGGACAGAAGAAATTTAGGACCGTTTCTTTCGCTTTAAGTGGGCCGTTCAGGGCGATTCGTTGATAAAAATGTCGACTCGTTTTCTGGCTGCGCGAGAACACCTTCGGCCTTCCCTCCGTTTTTGACGTCTGCTCCGGTTCGAGAACGCGCTGAGGAATTCTGGCGAGTGGAGGAGGTTTCAACAGCCGACTCGAATTATTGAAAGTATCATTCGTTTGTCTTATTTCTGTTTCCTTCGCATCGCCTATCTCGCATGATGGTTTCTGATCGATGGTATCCGTTTTAGCTGCATCCTTATTCGTCGACAGCAGCGCATCCTTCCGAAGATACGAACTGCTATCTTGTTGAGCCGGTTCAGTCGTCAACTTACTTAAATCGATCTCTGTTGCGTGCTCATCCTTCACCTCCCGATTGCCCGGTAAAAGTTGCAATTTGATGTCTTCGATCGAAATTTCGTGTTCCGATTCTGTAAGATCATTTAGACGCTTTGTATCAGTTTTTACTTCCTTCCGAGCTGCCACGTCTTCCATTCCTTTCACGGACTCTATTGCACTTTCATTGATAGGCGAGTCGGAAGCGTCGCTCGACGATTGTTCGGCGATCGATCTGACTTCGAGTATCTTGGGTAAACTTTCATTGAATTCCGAGAAGAATTTCGTGATAGCTTTGAACTTCTTGTTAACTTTGGGTCGCTGCCCGGAGTCGGTCACTGGTAGATACTCGACCACTTCTTCGGTTCCGCGCTCGAACACCTCGGACGTGATGGTCCTGGTGTTCACAATTTTAGGCATGATCGTCCTGTCCTCCGAAGATTCCTCGTTCAGGCAGGACGACTTAATCGACTGCTGCGTGCCGTTCAGGAAACTGCTCGCAATGTCCGGCGGCAAGATTTTCCACAGCACCCGAGGACTTATGATCCCGAACAATTGCGACAAATGCTCGCTCTGCAGATGAGCCATTATCCGTTTCGCTTCTACATGGATGAACGTGCAGAAGGGACACGTGAACCATATTAATCTTTGTACGACCAGATGTTTCTCCATATGCAGCATGTATTCTTCGCAGCGTACAATGCATCGGCCGAGTTTACACAAGACCAGCCTTATCGGATGCTCGTCATCCGTGTCCGAGTGCTTCTCTTTGTGATGCTTCTGGTATTCGGTGTACGACGGTAAAACGATATAACATTTCTCGCACGCGATTCTATTATGACTGTGCATGACAGCGAAATGCCTGGCGACAGTTTCCATGTCCCTGAAACCGTCTATTTCGCAGATTTTACAACCGAGGACACGCTTTTTTAACGGGTGAAAACAGCTGGTCCACGTGTGAGCCTCCAGCGACGTGAACGCTAGAAATTTGCGATAACAATCCGGACATAAATATGGCTTTTCCTTGTCGTGGAACGTTTGATGAGCCACGAACCGAGTTGAATTGCCTTGGTAGGTATCGCACTGGTGACAAACGTGCCTATAACAAGAACAATAGATATCGTTCTTCGTAGATTTTGAAAATCCTGGAATATAATACTCGGGCTTCCGTGGCTTTTTGCAAGCTTTACAGAATGTTTTCTCCGCCGAGAGATTGTATTCCAATTCCCAATCTTCCAATTGCCGATCTTTCGTGCCGCTATCTTCAACCTTATCGCTACACTTGTCCATACAGTGCTTTAATACATGCTCCAAGATATTAATTTTTTTCAAACGTTCCTTAACCATGTTATCAGGTACGAAATCCATTACTGCCAATATCTCACTGTTAAGCTGTTGCAAGTGATCGTATCGTTTCTTCAGTTCTGCGTATGTCAAGTGAAAGAATTCGTTGAGCATTTCGTGCTTAGTTTTCATGATCATACTCGCAGAATCAACAATAGTGTAGATTGGCTTTTGAGGGTGATACTTCATGTCGAGATACAAGTTCTGGTCCTCGCCTTTATAAAAAGTCAGAGGGGCGACCGAATCGGTGCTATTACGCTCTTTCATATTAACATCTGCAGACTTGTTACTCGAATTAGAAGCATCGGTTTTTAACGTGCTCTTTGTTGTTAGAATGGATTGCTTCGATTGCACATCACAACTGGAACTGCTTGATAATTCTGATGGTGACGGTGAAGGGGTTAAAGGGGAGGTATCACCGTGCAAGCTGTTGATTCTTTCTGGTGTCGATAAGCTTTCTGTGTCGCTCCGTTTTATAGGTATTAATGGCGGGATACTACATGTAGATTTCCAAAGTACTGCTTGGTACTCTTTCTTCATTGATCTGTTAACACTGGATCTGCTTTTCGATGGTTTTATAGCACCTGGTGTTTGTTTGATAATATATTTTTGTCCATTATGACATACAATCTTATTTCTTATAAACTGCGGTTTTTTTGCAACAGATTCAGTTGGTTTTGTTTGGACACTTTTGTTCACATCTTTATCGATTAACTCGATCTCCGATGAATCTGACGATAATACCTTATTTTTCACGCCGTTCTCGTGATTTGCATCGGGGACCAACTGAACTGACTTTTTAGACGGCTTGTCATCCGTATTATGAACAACGATAGACTTCGAGTCTTGTCCGATCAAGTAAATTTTCTTGTTGCCTACGACGCGAGGTTGCAATTGATTAATAATTTTATTAATATCAATGTGTACCGTGTTTTGAAGTGTAACAAACTTTTGGGCAGAATTAACAGTTACTACAGGTGTATTTTGCTTTGGTTTCTCTAATTTATTTTTGCACGTCTCGGTTTTTATTGCACATGAGGAAGTATCAGGTTCTACCTTAGAAACTGATTCAATAACCGATACATTTTTTTCAGATATTCTTTTGCTTCCTTTTCCCATACTAATGCCATCTCTAATTAGTTTCATCGGTGTTGTACCTTTATTGGATTTATCTATTACATTTTTCGTTGACTTTTTACTAATAACACATTTAGAAGAATCTTTTTCACCAAATTTTGGTGTTATCATTGTATTACCATACGACATGATTGTGTTAGATGAAATAGAGTTCCATTGTGTTGCACTAACTTTCTTAGCTTTATTAACAACCACATTAGTTATATGAGAAACGTTAGACAAATTTTTACTTGACTTTGTGGTAATTGTAGTCCGTCTTTTTGAAATATTACTTACTGAACTTTCAGATTCAAAAAAGTTTGATGCTGGGCCACAATCCACAAAAGCAATGTCATTTACTGTACAAGGAGTATCTTCATTCTCAATTTCATTGTCATCAGAAATAAGTGTTGTGGAATCTACAGAGGAAGAATTCTTCATTTTATCAGCATTTTCTGTAGTATTAATCATTTCACTATTGGAACAATTGGTATAAAAATTGGATACAGACTTATTATTCAAAATATAAACCTGCTCCTCTACTGGTATCTCTATTGGTGGAAAGTAACAATGACCCTTGTAATCTTTAAGAATAGATCTAACCACATCATTATCATCTTTCCTCTCTTTGTTAGTTACCTGCCACCAATTACTGACAATGTTTTCATCCTTTAACCAGTCCATTATATGAACCTTTTTTATAAATGTATGTTCCATAAGAGCTTCACATATTATATTAATTTCAGGATCCCAATTCTGAGTCAAGTTTGTTGGAATAGGCATTAGCATTAGGTCACTCATATTTACATTTGTAATAGAATGAGCTTTCAGATGTGCAAGAAATTGACACTGATTAAAAAAAAGTTGGACTGATCCAAACCTTTGAGTTTTATGCAAACCTCTGTTTTTTAAATACATACGTTTTTCACGTTCTAAGCTTGAGCATACAGAACATAATGACCTCTCTTTAGGTTCATGATTACAAACTGTCATAAAGCAGTGTTGACACCAATATCCCAATATCCAACTTTTCCGTACACGGTGATCTTCCAAGCTACTTCGAAAATGGAAGCTAACACAAAATGAATTTTATATATTAAACATACCTAACTTTAAGCTAATTGAAACTAAAACCTTTAACATATTAAGAAACTTACCGATCTTTGCACTGTGGACACACATATAAAGTATCACATTCATGTTTATTTAATGAAGGAGGTGGTTCTGGTGGTACATATGGGGGTGTCCGTATCATAAAAACAGCATTTCTTACTGCTGCATAATACTGAACACCCCACCTGGTTTTGTGTCCTCTGTCCTTTCGTAGTCTTGGCATGAGATTCTATTTATTACATGTCACAGTATTCCAGAGTATGATCCATTAGAATATGTCTGATGCTTTGAAAGTCACAAATGAATATGAGACTCCAGTATAGAAGTGTTTATATTATTGCACGAATATTTAGAACTTCTTTAAAGGCAGTGAAACACTATTACATCTAGTGATATATCATGTTCACTACAAGCTTTTATCATACACTTTTTCATGACATACAATGAGCTTGGTACAACACTTAAAATCAGATAACACTATGAACAATTAATCACATCTGTCTTAACAAGTTTCACAATTAATTATTCTTATTGTACATCTCTTTTATATCATGTAATAGATTAATTAAAGTCAACACATTGTTATAAATCAGAAAACCACCATATTCAGCCATGATATGTTTTGCTGTTTCCAACATGTCGGTAAAACAGAATATACAGAGCTGCCATTGCGGAAAACATTGGAAGCAATCCTAAGAAATCCAAACACTTTTATAGTCAAAGATATAACAAATGTTTTGCAATAATTTATACAGGATAATTCCCAATATTATTGAGTAAATGCTTGCTTTATGTTGTCACTATTATTTGTAATAACTGCAGGTGTAAACATTGCATATTTGGCATAGCTGCAGACTTTCAGGTCATAATGGAATATTTATAACCATCTTCCCTAATATAAAAACCTGGAAACATATTAAGTTTAAGAAAATAAAACTATAAATACTATTTTGTTATGATGGTTTATATTACTACATTGTAATACTAATTCATTGGCTTAAAGTATTTAGAGTTCAGTACACATAGACTAACTTTCTTAAATAATTCATATTTTATATTATATGTGCAAGTAGTTAATTGTGCATTACAATAATAATTAATATGAGATCATCCTAACAAATTTTTGTATTATTAAGTATAATGAATCTTTAAAATGTAATATATTATAGATCTTATATAGATTGAATCTCATTGTACCTAATAGAAATATAATTTATGTTGAAGATATTACAAATTGCAATATTTTCAATCTAATGTAGAAATCTATTTGCCCTTAATCAAATCATTTGTAATCAATTCACGAGTTTAGGTACTTTTTGGATCATTTACATGTTGTAATTGTCATTCTGTAGTAGAATGTATTTCATAAAAATTCTGGTATTATGTATACCAAAATCAAAACTCTAACATCATAACAAGTTTGAGTATTTAGAAATTATATATTATTGAACTAACAAATTCATAACTATATCCATAACCATATCTTAGGATCATTATAAAATTCCTGATTTTGTTTGTTATACCTATAGGAAAGACTATACATTAAGTAATAAACTTACAAAAACTTATGATACGTATATCCTTCTGTGGAGAATCCATTGCTTCCTATATTGTAGTTAGACAGAATTTATAAAGTATTCATAATGAAACTGATTATTACATGGATTAGTAGATTATCTAAAATCTGTATTTCTTCCAGAGTGTACATACTTTGGTTGTAGGTGTTTGTTTTTTGGTACTTCTAACCTTTCATCCACTTTTTATACAGAATGTTAGCTATAAAATAAACAAATTTGTATGTACAATAAAATAAGATAGAACAATGTGAAAAAATCCAAGATCAATGAATATTAATAGTACATATGCATAGAAATTTGGAGGATAATGTGTTACAAAAGTAGGGTATTATATACTATTGACATTAAAATTTTATTATATCAAAAATGGTTATTGAAAAGTTAAATATATACATTTATACATACGTACATGTGTAAAGTATATAATTTATATCTAATAGATATGACTCAGAAATTGTGTTGTTGATCTATTGGAAATGGTTCACAGTGAAGTTGAGAATCCCTGAACAAACATATTCACACTAGGGAATTATTGATAAAATCACCAAGTGTCGTATCGCCAACATGAACATACTTAACACTAAACATTCAAGAATCTCCCCTATAGAGGGTGGTGAAGTCAATATCAAGCAGTCTACTGAAAATAGGTTGCGCAATCGAAGCCATGTCGTTTCATGATTTTAATAAGTTTACTGGTCAGTTGAAACAGTCTACCCAGTCTCAACCTCTTTATCCATTAGTAAGTAACACTTCCATTAAATCTGCTGTAAAGCTGTCAAATTATGGATCTTCTAATCAAATATTTCCATGGAAACATAATGCAGACTTGTTCTTAGTATATTACACTTTTATCATTGCAGTTTCTCTAAATACAGTTCACAGAATAAATTCTTAATGATAACAAATTATAGAAAACAAAATATTTTTTTCTGAAACACATTTACGCTCTGTGATAACAATGTATAATTTTATACTGAACAAATTCTACATGTTTATGTAATAGCTGATGTCAAAATATTGGTAGGAAAAAATCCATAGCTAAAAATTTATATTATTTTTTACAATATAATACAAAGTAACTCATTATTTTGGCCATGCCTTCACATAATTAATTTTTGTTATTAGAAAGTTATTAAAAGTTGTTTGTTTATAGAGTCCTCAACCATTAGATAAGAGAGAGCCAAGAGCCATGATGTTCGATTCTAAAAAAACTAAACCAGTATCTACTTCGTTGAGTAAAAGCAACTACTCTACAGTACCCGCAAAAATAAAAGAACTTCAGAAAAGATACCAGGTATGAAACATATTTTATGTTTTAATATAATTTTATATTATAAAGGATTATACAATTGAAACTATTTTGCAGGCTGATCTGTCAGTACCTTCCTACCTATTGGCAGGTAAAAGAGATGTGCTTTTGTTCCGGTTTACAGTTGCACTCACTACGTTTGGCTTTTTTGCAAATTTGTATAAGTGGTATCAGATTGAAAAGAAAGGCAACTAGATCTTAAACATTATATCATAAGAATAATAGTGACTGTAACATAAATAAATGTATTCATAGTAAGATATTAAAATTGTTTGTATTATTCTACCCCCAATTGCTCTCTGATCTTATAGGCATATTAATTTAAATTATACTATGATAGGTGAATCAGTATTAAGCATTTACATCGTTTTTAATAAGTTATTTAAAGACATTAAAAAATTAGGTCTACGTTCAGTTCCTACATATTACCGCTAGATGGCTATAGCGTTTATCAGATTGTCATATGGAATTCAGAGGTACAACATGTTTTACTTGTCATGAGAGAAATTAAATGTCATATGTAAAACTGAACTATAAAGAATTCTAAAAGACCTAAAACTATTGGATATTAAGAATAATTAATGTAAAATGGATGACAATTCAGTTCCTGTTATTGTGTTCCATCCTATTATTTCATCCATACAAAAAATTGCACTTTATGAAACAAAGTCTGTAAGTTTACTACAAATAATAAATGATTAATATGTTAGATACATTGTTTAATTAAAATACTATATATGATACAGTTTGCAACATGTTACCAAAACTACATGTTTTAATGATGTAATATAATCTCTTTTTCAGAGATTTTACTTGATGGGATCAAATAATACATTAAATCGTTTTCGAGTATTAAAAATAGATCGTATGGAACCAAAAGAATTAGTTGTTGTAGATGATAAGAGGGAATATAATCAAGATGAGATAAAAGATCTTGTGAAGATGATAGACATGGGCAACCGTACACGTACTGGACAACGAAATAATGTTGGTGGAGTTGCAAGAATTGTTTCAGCTTTTGGTATTGTTGGTAAATAACTTCAAACCTCTTTCTCTTTCAGTTTTGCATATGTTACAATCTCTTAGAGCATGTTTGTGCTTTTATTATATATGATGTTCTTACACATTATGATCATTAACATTTACATATAAGTATGTAAAATATAAAGATTATACAATTTTATGTGTATATTTTTTATGAATTCATTAGCATACTGATATTTCATTTACAATTGACATGTTAACTGAAAATTCACCAATTTGCATGTCATTTATTTTTTCACCGCATGTAAAATGTAGTCCATGCTTATTTATATTTGCTTGATAACAAAGGCAGCAATTACAAAGAATCCACACCTGATAATGATGTATCAGAAGAGTCTGAGCACCAAGAATTTCAAAAGCCGATGCACAAACCAACTCAAACTAAATTCACCTGGAAAACAATGTGGCAGAGAGACAGTTTTCCTCGGCTAGTGCCAGCTTTCGGCCTTCTTGGTAAGGACTATGGAGCTTAATAATCAAACAACTAACATTTAAATGGAGTATTTTCAGTAAGATATCACACAGTTAATACTTTTTAAAGGGTATATATACTTTTTCAATTTTTATAAGCATATATGAGAAAATATATAGGTACAGATATGTCTTTTTTTTTATATTATGAAAACTAAAATTTCTAGAATTGGTGTAATGAAAAAATAATGTAATAAAAGCATGGCTTTGATATGATTATGGCGATCTTTTGCAACATATTCATGGTACATTACTACATTGAAAGTTTGATGTTTTTTTTAAAATTAATTGTAACATATATATTTTATGTGATTGTACGAATTCAAATATTTCATGTGTAACATATTGCAATACATATGTGTTTCAGCATAATATACCATATTTGCTTGTCATTTTATTTATAAACATGGCCTTAAGCATGTTATATGTATTGTGTATGAGATATATATTAATGGATAGAAACAAACACATATTTAAATATATTCATTGCAATGATTTTAAAATAATTTCTAATAATTTTGTGATAGGTTTTGTACGTTTTCTGGAAGGATATTATATAATCCTAGTGACAAAACGACGTAGAGTTACTGTAATTGGGCACCATACAATATATAAAATAGAAGATACTGCAATGATTTATATTCCAAATGATACAGTGCGTATCTTTCATCCTGATGAACAAAGATATGTAAAAATGTTTCAAAGTATTGATCTTCGCAGCAACTTTTATTTTAGTTATTCATATGATTTAACACACACTCTACAGTATAATATGAGTACCCCAAAACATATTAAATCAAATATGCCAAATATTTCTGATAAAATTTCTAATCAATCAGACAATGATGATGTAGAAGATGCAGGAGATTTTTTTAACATGTGGGCAGTTCGAAAGAATTATCAGAATAATAGGTGTGTAATAATGTGTTGAAAAATTTAGTTTAGTTAAAATAATAAATTTTTTCATTAGCACAGAGAAATATATTGATTACGGTATACGAAATAATCCACATCGCCGATTTGTATGGAACTCTCATCTCTTAAAACCAGTAGAAAAAGATTTACATCGTGATTGGATTTTATATATTATACATGGTTTTATTGGTCAATCAAATGTTAGTATTTTTGGGAGATCTATATATGTAACTATCATTGCTAGAAGAAGTAACAAATATGCGGGTACTAGATTTTTAAAGCGTGGCGCAAACTTTGATGTAAGTTCAATTATAGAATACACACTTTTGTCACGGTCACAATTATTCAGAGCTAATTATCTCAATAAAATTTTTTTAATTAAGGGAGATGTTGCCAATGAAGTAGAAACAGAACAAATAGTTCACGATTCCGGAGTAAGTTCTTTAAGTAAAGGCCGTTTCAGTTCTTTTGTTCAAATGCGAGGATCAGTTCCTGGTCATTGGAGTCAAGATGTTAGTAAAATTGTTCCTAAGCCGACTATTACTTGTGATTTGGCTGATCCTTACGTAGAAACTGCAGGTAACAGTGTTAAGGGTTTTGTATTTAGTATAATATTTAATTCGTGATTAATAAATGTAGGCGCACATTTTAATCAACTCTTGAAAAGATATGGATCTCCAATCATAATTTTGAATCTTGTTAAAAAACGTGAGAAAAAGAAACACGAGAGTACACTAAGTGAAGAATTGTGTATGGCTGTCAATTATTTAAATCAATTTTTACCTCCAGAACATCATATTCAATACATAAGTTTTGATATGGCTCGAATGAATAAAAGGTACAGAGTTACAGAGAACTTATATTACAAGTTATGAAAAAATTGAATGAAGAAATATATAGTAAGAGGATACTGTGTTTTTAGGAAAAAGGTCAATGTTATGGCTCGCTTGGCAAATATAGCATATAATGCAGTGCTAAAGACAGGTATTTTTCAGTCACAAAAGCCATACTACAGTCAAGAAAATCAATTTTCTGCTCAATCAAATAATATTAAAAAATTGAATAAAACAAACTCAAGCACAGTTTTATCGCTCAGTTCCTATAATGTTCAAAGTTCTTTAGATTCAGCAGATGATAATACTAATAATATATCTATACATTACAATAATGGCTCTAAATATACCATGGAACATAATTATGAGTTAAATCACATAGAACATAAAGTAAGACAATGGTTTGGCCAAAAAGGCACATTGCAAACTGGAATTATCAGAACAAATTGTGTCGATTGTTTAGATCGTACGAATACCGCACAATTTGCAATAGGAAAATGTGCTTTAGGATTTCAGTTATGTGCTTTAGGTGTATTAGAGTCTCCTAAATTGGAATTTGATTCTGACTGTGTAAGAATGTTGGAGGAGTTATATGAGGATCATGGAGATACATTAGCATTGCAATATGGTGGTTCTCAATTAGTACATAGAATAAAAACATACAGGTAAAACCATATTACATTAAATAAACAAATTTTTCAAAATTCTAAGTAGATGATTTATTATGATTTAGAAAGACTGCTCCATGGACTAGTCAGGGTAACGACATTATGCAAACCTTAAGTAGGTATTATAGTAACACATTCAGCGATCAAGAAAAACAACATACAATTAATTTATTCTTAGGTAAATAAAAAAGTTTGTAAAAAACATAGAGAAATAGAGTGAATTAATCAATTAATTAACAAATAAGTGAATTAAACAGGTTTGTTCATACCTGAGGAAGGGAAGCCTCCAATTTGGGAGCTTGTAACTGATTACTATCTTCATCATAAACCCGCTTGTCATTATTCTCGTAGAACAAAGCTCTTAACGCAGTGGTGGGATACCAGCGTGTTAAAGTGTCTCCCTTATGCGTTGAACGAAGTAACGAAATCCTGTACTGAAATGATACAAGTACAGAATTCATTAGAAGAAATGATTGATGTTTATTATGATTATCACAGGTACTGAACATCTTATTGCTTAGTTATTTATGATCCATACATAAAATAATTTTTGCAGGTCTTACGAATTATCTGTATTTTCCGAACTTTATACATATAAAATTAGTCATTCCGTAAGAGATTTTATGCCACATTTTACGACGAACTTTAGCCCATTTGCGGTACGAGTGCGGCCAGGTAGAAGAAGGGAAGAAACGGGTAGTAAAAACCTAAATATGAAAAATCCTTCAATGACTGGACAAAGTAGCACCAGTAGTACTACGTCAAGTGCGAGGTAACATTAATTTGACATTTTAATTCATATATAATTATGTAATAATGAATTTTATTTATTTTACAGTTCTACTGAAGACTCTAGTTCAGATGATGAAGAAAGTCATCAGCATACCAATGATTCTCAATTAATATCATCTAAAGAAAATTTGGAATTAGTATCTTTTGAGTCATTGTTTCCATCTATGAAGGAAGTATATGGTACACAACCTGAATACCCGAAAAGAAACGATTTAGTATTGTATAAAAAGTAAGTGATTGAAAGTTCAGAAAAAATTTCATTTTCCATGTACTGTTGTTTTAACTTTGAAAATGATCTCGCAGATTTGTATTAATTGGACGCAATGCAACTTATCCATCGGATTATACAAAACTTCGATCCAAATTAATACAACAAGCATCGTACCCAGAGACTACGACACCCGTGATCGCGCTACCTATAGTGAAAGAATGTAGCATAAGTATATACGAACAATACGTCAAAAGAGCTAATGTAAGTACATTTTATGTGTAAATTAATGATCATTCTTACTGTTTATGAGCTACATGAAGATTGTTACATAGGTTGGTGGATCAATACCTAGTCCTAACGACATGAATTTATACGAAAATTATATAAAAGATCAATTCACACAGATTGATCTCAAAATGTAATAAAAATAAAAAAATTATGTACATATTTTGTAAACTAAATAAAAATTAAATTTCATAATACATATTTTTATATTCGTGTTTCGTTTATTAAAACTTTTTTAAGAAATACATTAACTTGCAAAACATGCAAGCATAAATGGAATTTATAATCTACTTCAACTTCTTTTTTGGACGAATGTTATTTGTGTGTCCACATTTCTTCTTACGGCAGTTGGTTGCACGTGGATGTAAACGCGCGTAACATTTCCTGCAAATCATCTTGTCACAATTATATTTCTGTGCAAGAATACGAAGTGTGGGCTCAATGACACCTCCTCGAAGTCTAAGCACAAGATGTAAAGTGGATTCTGTCAAAGACACATAGATTCAGTTTTATATTTTGTAAACACAATACATTAATATATACTATTTACACATTACAATTATTAGATAAATAGATAAGTTGTTAATAAAATTATATATTACCTTTCTGGATATTGTAATCAGAGAGGGTACGACCATCTTCTAATTGCTTTCCAGCGAAAATAAGACGTTGCTGATCTGGTGGTATTCCTTCTTTGTCTTGGATTTTTGCTTTTACATTTTCGATAGTATCTGAAGCTTCTACTTCAAGGGTAATAGTTTTACCCGTCAGGGTCTTCACGAATATCTGCATCGTGGCTTATCTAATTTGTAACAGAGAAAAGGCCAGCTAAGTATTTCATATGTAATTACAACGTTAAATCATTCACATTCTAAATAATACCGCAACTTGTACCTGTCAGTTTCTTTAGATTTAGCAAATAATTTATCACTATTATTTACAATTTTTCTTGAATTTTATTAGTTTTAATGTTAAGTCTCAAAAAATATGAAAAAACAACTGGAAAATTTCACAACCGACATTGCGTTTACGAACGTGTTCTAGCAACGTATCGTATTGCGATTGTTTTTGAAGCCCTTTTGTTTAACTATTCAACTGATTAATACCAAAAATAAGAGAAAACCTATTTTAGAGTAATAAATAGGATGTCTTGTAGGTACCAGTATTGTGAAACTCGTTTAAACTAATCCTAAAAATTATAAAAAATATTGAACACTCACCGTTCACGAAACGTGTACGCCACAGAAACCCAACCTAAAGAAATTGTACAATGGCAGCACTGTAACTTCCGTTAACACGGAAATGCATCTGCCATCTCGTGGCAGAATTATTAAGTTATTTGGTGAATGACACGCAAAAGTTGAACTGCTCACGGAACGTTTAATTTTTTAAATTTACATTGCAATTCCCAATTTTCTCTTGTCGAGATCTGCACGAATTACAATAACGAAGTTCCGCCCACATTTCTATATAATAGACGACCTTTAAGAAACCCGCAGCGCAGGTAAATCTCAAACAATAAGATTAGCCACCTTCAACTTAAACCGCCAAAATCTAAGCTACCTAAAATAATTATTCTATTGTCATTTTTATAGTCGTCAACGCTTTGTTAACTGTCAATAATCGTCAGAAACCCGTTGCACTCTCCTTTTCCAGTGTACCGTAAGTTTATCCATGTTCCTTTTTATTATACAAACAACAATATTCGTTATTATACAACAAACTATTACAAAGTGAGGTTACTGAATAATTGTATAACGTGTTGTTTAGTTAAACCTATTTAAGTAACAGCCGCGTTACGTATAATATTAAAATAACCGCGGAACAATACGTCCGCGGACTTAAAAGGCAAGGGGTGGGAAACCCGAACGAACCTATCATGGTGGAGACGTATCAAGCGCAGTGGCCTTTAAAGTCTTGCGAGACATTCTGGCCAGGGTGGCACAAGTTTGATTTATTTCAGGTACCATCGAACGGATACGTTACTAATTTCGTATTTGCGGAAATGCGGCCGTACTCGTGTACCGGTATATTCGAGGCGTATTGCAGAGGAACGCGCGTTACATCCGATGTACAGCTTCCTCGGGAACACGAAGGCTCTGTGCCTCCGGGCCACGGTGATATGCAAATTTCAGTAGTAACCCTTAAACTTTACACTCTGACCTAGATGCTCACCTGCCTAAAGGCTTCGCAATTAAACGTGTTTTACGGTATCCTGTAGGAACAGACGCGCCCCCGCGCCCACGGATTTATTAATTAATCTTAATTGGCCGGCGCGATTACTGCGCGCCGAAACATATTTGATATTGTAATTAGAGTAACAGCGGGAATCCCGTTCGAATACGGTTCGCGGGGTCGTTAATGAAAACGCGTGCCATGTAAACGATGTCGCCTCGATACCCGCATCCCCGATACACCCCGGCTGGTACACGCGGCCGCGCGAAAATCACCGGTGAAAGTTAGTCACGATTTCGTGCGTTATCGTGGTCCAGATAGCACGAATGATTCGTTGAATTTTCCCAGCGAAATATCCGCATCCCCGCGATTTCTCGCGGGTATACGTCCCGAGAATGCGTTCCATAAACTCGAATGAGTTTCGCGATACTTTGAAGAGGTATAGGAAGTTTTATGATACCCCGACGACCCGAATGCCTTTGCATTCGTTGAACGTGAATCCCTGTATATCACCTAAGTCACGAGGCGGCGCGTTACATGTAAGGAGGTAGATAAAAGGAAATACGGGAAAGGCGGAGGAAATGCGTAAAACGTATCATAAATTTCGGCGGCAGTGTAGCGGCTAGGCTATGAAACCGCTGACACAGCTCGATCCGCGTATTTACGTTTAACGCATCAGCGAGCAACACTTGTTGGCTCAAAGTAGTATACGATGCCTTCTTGCCAGCGAGAAGTCGTATCGAGCTCGTAATCGGAACGAAGACGCCTCGGATTTTCGTCTCGGTCTATCGCGAGGCACCGACGTACGCGCACGTATCGCTCGATGGAGGAAAACGAGCAATCGATTGCCACGGCTTTCGCTGTCCGGTCGGTCGTGTCCTGGACCGATACCGCGCGAAACCTTCCACGGGCGACGCGATGATTTTCAATGCTCGCGAGAAGCGTCGAGTTTCCTCGTTGTAGATTCACCGATCGCCTGTTTTTTCGTACGCCGCCGCGACGCGCCCCGATTCGCGCGCATCGATCTCAGCCGGGGCACGGGAACTTGCTTTGAGTTATTGGGCTGTAATAAAGTTAGCCGGAGTCTCAAGGCTATTGTGGGAATCGAACGGTAACTGGATTTGGCTTTGGATGGGCCGGCTATGAACGGAGGATGAGAATTACCGCGTTCCATGGGCTCGGACGAATAAAATGGGCGTTAATACGGATATTTCATAGGAGAATTCCGAATGTTTTTGATCGGGGCGAAACGGCGCGGTTCTGTCGCGAATAACGAGCCGCGTCCCATCTGCAATTTCGTCCCCGCGGAATCGATCGCCGCTCGTCGAGAATTGAACGATTCAATTATAATGTTACGCAACTTTCGGTCCGTTTGCGTACAAACGAGCGGCGCGAAGCATTAATCATAACGTATCCGTAGGTTCGCGCGATAGGCGATGGAATTTGATCGACGCGAGCGCGCCGGCGTTACAGAGAAGATAATAAAACCTGCGTTTTCTATCTGTTCCGCGTTACCGCTGTATTTATATCGCGGCGGCTTCGCGTGGTCGATGTGCGTTTGTGCGTTTGCTGCGTCACCGGTTGTCCGCGCCAATATAAATTCCTTCGATATTGGCGCGTTTTAATAATAGAAAACGAAGGGAACGCGTAGACGGTAGTCCGAACACGACCACCGTAGGCGTGCAGAAGCACGATGACTATTTTACAAGCGGCCGTATTGAAAGCGAGCAGAATAATGTCCGCGTTGAAACACTATAAATTTACGGGAACGTTGTCGCACTCGGATCCCATTGTGTCCCGCGACGTTCGCGAACAGCTTTTATTTTTATTCGGCTTTTATTCACCCCGAGGAACAGCGAATTTCTCGCGTAAACGTATGACGTAGCCCGATGTCGTCGTTTTTGAGTGACGATGTTACCGCCATCGCCGCTATGACACTCGGCCGGTTGTCCGTTTGTGGATACCTGTGCTCCATGTTTCGCCGGCGATTTCCATTTACACACGCTGCACACTACACTCTCGCCCTTAAACGGCCCAATTAAATGCACCCCGGGCCGTGTACTATCTCTGGAAATTTCGAACGATATCGCCGTAATGCGTGCGGACATCGTTCCGCCCGACGTTTTCAACGACTGGAAAGACCAACCGAACACGACAGCCCCCCAGGTTTATCTACCGAAAGTTTGTGTCTATCCAGACGGTCCGTTGATGGACACCCTACGGCGGAGCCGTGTGTTCAGTAGAATAGTTAATAAATTTGACAAGGATCGCGTGCAGGTATCACCTCGGGCGAACAAACTACGCGGTACGCTGACGTTAACGAGAACACGGCTATTATTTCCGGCTATACCCGAACCGAACATTCGTTTCTACATCGAATTATTAGCGAATTCTCTGGTTACGGCCTTTCTCCTTCGTTCAGTCCTGACTTTCCATCAGAGATTTGCTGTTCAGGCTCCTTCCAGTCTTACGAGCCGATCGTTTCCGCCGACTCTAAATTTTTCTTGACCAAAATGGAGTTTCGCTCCACTGGGTCTCGCAGGTTAATAATACTATTACGCTCGCAGCGTACCTTTCGCGACGAAACAAGGGTAGCGCGTACTTCCCCTTAGAAATTGCAATCTCTTGCATGCTAAGTAAGGTAACGTTATTCTTAGAGTGCTGTTAGACGCACGCGGGCTTCAAACGAAGACGAAGAATAGCTACCACGCTGCTGCTCCGACCGGTTTCTCTGCACCGTACAGTCACTCTCCGACAGAGATACCAAACGGACATTCGGAGCGATGGCGCCGCGGCAGGCCTCAGTGCAGATCCAAGTGTTTCCACTCGACACTGCTTAAACCCTTACGACATACCTCCTACAGGTACCGCTAGAAACTCTGATACGGTGACACGTGGACCGAGCGAAGGCTGATCGAGCGTTTGATCCGCAACATAGAAAGTTGGCCCGTGATTTTATTATTATTAATTGCTGATCAGCATCGTTCACCGATCCGACGAGGCGACCCATTAATGTTTGTTACCCTTATCGCGCGGACAGGCGAGCTAACCCTCGAGGAAACTAATAAATGGAAAAGCCCGTTCAAGTTACTCAGATCATTAAACTGCAAAGGCCTCGGTGTACAGCTTGAAATCGATGTCTAACTCTATGGTGAACTCGTTCGAACTACCGTTAACTTTTTCACAACACTTTGGCCCGTGTTGGGTCACAATTTTCCCGAAGAACGCGCGTATCCGGCAGCCCGCGAGTCGAAAAGTCGGAATCATCGATTACGGGGCGATGCGGCGACCAACGCTTCTCGGCAACCTTTTCCGCCATTCCGCCGTTTACTTCTTTTGCTCTTCCACTTGACTTCTTACATTGCTGGCCGGACTTCGGCTTGCCCCACCAGTAAATCGGAGGAGTGCAATTAAAAGTTGTTAACCAACGTGGCTCGAAACCAGTTTAATTGTGGCCGGCTCTTTTAAAGGAAATCGGAGCTCATCGATGAATAGACGAGACTGTCCCCTTTCGTCTCCAGCCGCGATCCCGCGCACGGGTTCCCGTGTAATCTGCTGTTCGGTCTATTCGCGGACCCCCGTTGAAATTCCTTGTTAAATTCAGGCAGGAGTCGTTTACGCGAGTAACGCGTGAAACAATTTTCTGAGTCAGATCGTTACAGGGTTGTCCACGTTCTACAGGTATCCAAGCATTGTCGAGATAACGGGGACCCCGGTATCGTAAAATTTCTAAGTGACCCGGTCCGATAAGAAACTGACGAACTTTCAGAATTTTATCGGCGCTTCCGTAAAATTTATATTTGCTTACTTACAGACCAAAATGTAATTCTTCCCCCTCCCGGTAATAACTCGAGCGCCCTCCCCGTACATCGGCGGCCACGATAAAAGGACCACAAAATGAGTATGAAACGCCATCGCGATCCAAGATAAAACTTTTCCATCAAACCGCGCCCTCCGTTCCCTCGTCCCTCGCCCATCTCGCCGATATATACCCGCTATTCGTATTTTGCTCGTTCAGCCGATTCCGCGACCCGCCGATTCTCATCGGTCTAAATCGTCGACCGACTTTTTTCATTTCTCCCCGAGCAACTATCTACGTTACCCGATGCCCGTTTACCCTTTTTCCCTCTCGCCGCGCGCTGGTGCGATGCGAACAACTGTACCGGGACACGGCTCTCCTCTACAGTTTCCTCTGAAAGAAGGAATTTGCCTGCAGTTCCGATTCCCGGTGATATCGCAACGTTTGTATTTTCCGCGAAACGAAGCTTCGTCCGCGCGTTGATCGTCTCGCGAAATATTTTGGCTTCGATAACATTCGTAGGCAAGGGAACAGTCTAATGTAATACTTCGCCAGATATTTCGCAATAAAGCGTGCATAGATTCGACTCGGATTTCGGTTGCGCGCGTCGCGAATTTATTGCACGCTCCCCGTGTACTCGAGTCGCGTTATTGGTTCCCTGGTAGCTGGTACGTGTTCCCGTATGGGA